ATATATATATATATATATATATATATAATAACTAAATAAATACATATATATATATATATATATATATATATATATATATAAAAGAGGTCAACTTATTATACACTCGTAAGTTGTAATCACATGTGCACTATGCCGTTGGTTCACCTAGGAATATGAGGTGGCGATGATATCAATGTATACATTTTATTTTTATTTACTATATTTTACTTTATATATTTTAATTTTGGCAAATTATAAAAATCAGATATTTTTTTATTTAAAATTTTAATCTATTTCTTAAATGTTTATAATTACGAAATTCCTCAGACGGACATAATAATATAAGCGCTGCTACATTAGAAAGAGGGTCAGACAAATTAATGGACAAAAAATCAGAACGCTGATACATTAAAAAGAGAGTCAGATTTATTAATGAAGGGTCAAATATATTAATGACCAAAAAATTAAAGTGCTAATACATTAAAAAAGAGTTGGATACACACGCTGATACATTTTAAAAAAAAGGGTCTGATAATTAATGACATTTTTACTTAAGAGAAAAATGAAAAAATTTATAAAATTTATTGAGAATAATGGTAATAAGTAAATTAAAAAGTAGGATTTTTATAATTATTCCTCAATTTATATAGGCAAACGTTCAAGTTTTAGAATTAAATATTTGAATTTTGGTTGAGGAGATGATTTTTTTTATTGGTTATGAAATTTATATATTTAAATAATAAGTAAAATTATTATAAATTGTAATAATTGCACATGATATATGTTAAAACCATATTTCGTAAATAATATTTCAATATGTTACAATATTCTTATATTAAGATTATAAAAATTTGAAAACTCTTTTTTTTCTTTTTTTAAAAAAAGAAAAATAATAGATCATGTCAAGTCAATTAACTTAAAATAAAATATGGGACTACTTGTTAAATGGACCACTTGGCCTTGGAAAAATTTGTGCATCACGCAAATTGAGATTATTAATTTAATGAATACTTAAATAATATTTAAATGTCTAGTAACAATTCAATGAAATGTAGATGTATAAGCAATAGCTAATTTTTATGTATACACGATAATTTAAAATTAGAGTAAACTATATGATGAATATTTAATATTCATCGATCATATTAACATAATAAAATATTTCAAACGTTTCGAATTATTTTGGAGTAATTTTCATTCAACGTGTTTAACACTTTTTTAATATAAGATCCAAAAAAAATAATAGTTTTTTTAATTGTTCTTAGACTTTATTTTACTTTCAAACCCTAGAGGGATTAACATGCTTTGTAGATATAATTGTGAAACACGTTAAATGAAATGGTCATAGAACTTTGTGAGTTGGTGACTGATAAAATTAAACCATGAAACACAACACAAGTTCAACTTATCGAGTTAATAATTTATTTATTTATAACTCGATTCATTTTTAGTCATTCAATTTATTCGTTTATTTAGATTTTCTCGGTAAATTCATAAGAAACCATATTGATTAAAATATTTTTGTAATAAGTATATATTTGGTAATCTTTGGATGCATTATTTAGTAGGATATGATGTGTGGTATCCTCTAAAGTGTTTTGGTTTTGATTTTTGATTCCGATTTAATAAGTTTTTTTAGAATAGATCCTAAGTTGAAAAAAAACATCTTAGAAAAAATTTATATAAAGATTCATCATCTTCAAATATTCTGAAATAACTTATAGAAAAAAATTAATTGACGTCCACAAATTAGATCGATGGCAATAAAGCTTTGTATAACTAAATTTCTCAAAGGGAAAGTTATTTTAATATTCTTCTTTTTACTAAGCAAAACTAAAATAATTATTGAAAGAGATAATGATTCGTTCACTCTTGTTAATCTTTCATTAAGTTGAATTAGATTAAATTAATTTAATATTTTTAAAATTTGAATCTAAATTTATAAAAGAATTTTCTAATGGTGATTTTATTAAAAAATATTTAAATATTAAATTCTTAGTTATGAATAAAAAAATGCTTATTACTTCACATAATATTGTCATATGACTGATAAATGACGATTCACATATGTCCTCAAGAAAAATAGTGGGGGAAGTTATGGTTGTTCAAAATCAAATAGTAAAAAAATTATTGTTTCATTTATTAATGTGTTATTGTTTAATTAGTCGTTTTGATAATAGTTTTAATTATTTTTTTATTATTATATTATCAATTATATCTTAGTAGAATAATTTAACATGTCTATCAATTAATAACTGATAAATTTTAAAATTAAAATGAACCGATCGATAAAAAATAAATATATTACTAGTAATTGTTATTTAAATATGTCAAATATTTCTTAAGGAAATGATTAAATTTTATAATTAAAAAGTTTTTACTTATGAAAAAGTTACTGATTAAGGCTTTGGACCGGCATCTCTAAGCCGCCACTTCAAGACTTTTGGATTTGAAGATTTTATTTTCTAAAAATTTTTATCTCGAAAGATGATTATATTAAAGTTTAATTAAATTTTATTTTATATTAGAAAGTTTTTATTAAGGTGTAAAAATATTTTCTAACAAAGTTTATTTTATACCTAAGAAGTATCGAGCTTGAAACTTCTAATTAAAAATTAAAAAAAATGTTTATTATTTTATCACCATCAGTATCGATTAATATTAGATTATCTCAAGTCAAATATGTTTTTTACCCTTTTTTTTGTCTTTAATTATTTTAATTTTTTTTCAATCCTTTCTAGACATTTTCTGACATTTACATTTGATTATATTTTACATAATCTGTGACATTAAAAAAAAGTAAATACCGAAAGTAACATGACTTGTAATTTAGATAGTAATAAATCAAGATGTGACATGAATTGAAGATTTCTCGAGCTTTTGAATAAACTTTATAATATAAAATATTAAGCATATTTTATTATTATAAAAGCATATCATTGTCCAATATAATCCAATTTTTAGGAGAATTAATTATTACTAGATAAGGAATATATGTCTAGAGTATAGAACACATGTTGGATTTTATTGTCATGACAAAATCTTGCCAAACCCTAAAATAATGTGACATGCATACACTATTTTTAATTTTTTTTTATGATGTCTTGTTTTATAATTTCGATTAAGTTAAATTTATGGTTTTTTTGGTTAATTTGTTATTTTATGGAGATATTTTAATAAATCTATATATTTTTTAAAATTTTCTTGTGATTTAAAGATATAAATCTTATTAAAAAAATTGTTGGATTACGGTCACGAATACAATTGATTTAGTTTTGACCATTATGAACCATAAAGTCGTTAACACACAATAGAAAATTGATGGAAAACTATATAATTAGATATTCTCGTACGTACTATTATTATCTATACTTTTAATGTATTACGTATTTTAGTATTATTAATTAAGAATTTTTTTTATATATATTTTACACTTAAATATATGTAATTTTGCTATTAATATATAAAAATAGAGAGAGAGACAAGAGAGATTCGTATGTATCCCAGATACATACGAATCACACTATACAAATGCTTCTAGCGTGATTTGCGTGTACTTGTGATATGATATATTAATACATGAGAGAGTAAGAAGTGTGATGAAAGAAATGCGAGAGAGACAAGTGAGATTTAGTAATTTCCTTTAGTTATTCTAAAGCCCATTAGTTAAACAAGTTTTTCTAATACCGAAAACTACCTTATTAGACATACATACATATACACGTACATACATGCTATCTATACTTTCAGATAATCATATATTTTATAATTAATAAAAAAATTCTATACACCTAGATACATGTATTTATCTAGATACCTGTATTTGTATGTCTATGATATGATTTGTATGTATGTGGATTCTGGAATACTAGATACATAGGAAAATGATGGACAAGATAGGAGGAAGGCGGCGAGATTGGTTATATATCCAAGATATACACAAATCCACTTGGATACAGTGTACCTAGAGCAAATTACATCTAATTTTGACATCATCATGCGTTTTGAGATACATATATTTGAACACATCTAAATCTGATAAAATTCATAATATTACAAACTATCTAAATAATAAACTTCAATCCTAAACTAGTGAAATTTCGATAAATTAATTTTACTTTTATTTTCCTATTGTGATAAGTTGTAGAATTATAACTAAACAATAGCAAAGTTTGAATATACCTATCTATATAAAAGTAGCTAACACTTTGATTCACTAAAAAAATTAAAGTAGTAAGAGAATAATAAGTAACGAACCTCTATATTCTTTTCGATCAACTGCAATAAGTAATGTATACATCTTGTAAGATATTTTCATAATTAACTTTTAGATTCACGAACTTAAAATTACAAATGAAAACCTCGAATTCTAATTTAATTTTCAAACTTTTTTTTTGGGAACTCTTAAATTGTTTTCTATATTTTGTGTGTGTTTATATATAATTGTGTGTGGGGGAAAAGAGACGTCAGAAGTTCTAGTTAGCTAGCAAGGTTATTTATTATATTTTCTATTTTTAGCCTTTTTTAAAACTTAAATCTATATCGAAAAAAGGTTTTTTTGTTGATTCAAATATCATAAATATGATCCTTATTTTGTTTTTATTTTCTCCTCGTCTTTTTCCTTTTTAGCGGTCAGAAATTGTGAACTTTCAACCGTGTATTGAAGACTTGGTCTTCAATACATAATGAAAAAGATGAGGAAATAATTCATCATTTTACACATATAAAGTAAAAAAATTATAAGAAAATGCTAAATCACGATTAATAATATTATAATTTATTGCTAAAATTAGATAATAATCTAATTTTTGTCTATAAAGTTAGTGATATATGAGCAAATATTAGACTTAAGTCTAATATTATTCTGAAGGATAATATCTAAATAACAGCCTGAAAATAATTTTCCTCTTAACCTAGGCAAATTAAAATCATATAAACAATTAAAATTTCAAATATCAGAAAAATTATAAAAAAACAAATAATAGTGTCAAATCAAATAAGTTTGATAATTACAAGAGAGAGACCAAAACAAAAAAAGAGAAATAATAATTCTCAACTTTATTAATTGGCAAGCTACGACAAATAGCATTAAAGGTTTGAAAATTTAAAAAGTATATCTTCTTGTAGCATAATATATATACATAATTTTTTTTATTATTTTTTTAAAAATATATTATATGTAGAATTAATTGTTGATAAAATATTTATTTATTATTTATTAAATGACACAATAAATACTCTAGCTACCAATGCTATTCATAGCTTGCCCAGGCAATGAAGGCACGTACCTAAGTGCATTAATTCCTAAATCATCTAAATTCAATAATTTTAATTTAAATAAAATATAAGATTAAAAAATTTGTAATTAGTCTTTTAAATAAATTTTGAGGTCGATAAATCAAATAAATAGAACTTCAAATGCAAACGGATATAAAAAAAAGAGAAAATTGTATACATAATAGCAAATTATTAATTTAAATTTAATGTAATAGTCATAGTTTGATTTAATTGTACCTCATAACAAACTGTTGTTATTTCGCTTCTCTTTCTTGTTGAATCTCGCTCGCCACTCTCGTTATCTCCATCGCCTCTCTCGCTTTTTATACAAACGCAAATGTATAAAACACGTTCGTATTTGTATAGAGCGAGAGAACATTGTAAACATACATATATTTTCGTTTCTCTATCTCGCTTGTACAAACAGAAAAGAAATGTATAAACTGTGTTCTTGTTTGTATGAAGCGAGAGATAATTGTATATATACATGCAAATACATATATTTTCGTTCTACACACTTATTATCATATAATGCAAATATTTCCTTACCCATTTTTCTTTTGCATTTCTCTCTTTCTCGATTTATACAAACACAAATTGATCTTTTGCATATGTATACCAAGACAGAAACAATTTATATACAACTGCTTTCTTTTGTGTATGTATAGCGAAATATATATATTTATGTTTGCTACGGAGCGCAATTAAACAAACTATACTTACAACATATAAATATAATTTCTATTTTTACTACATGTGAAAGTTGCTCAAAAAAATTCAAATATTTATTTCACAGCCCGATCTAAAAACATAATTAAACTAAAATTACTAAAGTCAACTAAACGTGTGATACAAAGTTGTGCATCGTTTTCATCGTCAAGTTGGTTTGTCCTGTAAATTTATTGGCTTATATTAACATTTATTGGAAGTAATATCGGTCTATTATCACAACTATATATTTATATAAATGAAAGTTTCAAGATTATAATTGTGTGTACCACAATATTTTTAATTCCTATCGCGAATTGACGTTAGTAAATATTGTTTAATCTAAAGTCGATTTTTGAGTGCATTAGGGTAGACAATCTATTTCACATGTCCTTTCTTTGACCGTGCTAATATAAAATGCTTTATGAAATCAAGTTACTTAGGGATTGACTTGCGTAGACCATTTAATATTTATTTGCGTGTATGGAACGATACTATGTCATAAGAAAAATATGACTTTGTATTAAATTTGATTGATTGGGAAACATATTTAAAAAAATCAATAAGTAAAAATTAAAAAATTTGAATCCGATGTGATTGAATTTTATTTTATCAAATATTATCAGAGGTTTGAATTAAAGACTGAATCACAATATAATGAAATATAGAACAAAAAAGAATTAATTTCAAATAGAGTACATATATATAACTTGCAACAAGAGCATTTGTTACAAGAACTTTAATCTATGTTGCTCCAACCCTTAAAAGAATACTGTCGTATTTGTGTCATATTTTCCAAAAATACATACATTTTGGATGATCCGATACATGTTCAAAGATAATTTTTTTTTGAAAAGTTCGAGCAGCATAGCATAGACATTTACAGAACGAAGGTCTCTCCAAGTAAGAATGTCTTCATAATCTTATCTCCCATTCCATCTACATAAGGAAACATGTGACCACTACCTTTAAGTTCGTGATATCGAACCCAAGGTAGTCGTTCTGCAACATATCGTTGCAGAACGACTGGTACAAGACCATCTTCGTCCCCTTGCCATATGTGAACAGAGCCTTCGTTGTTAGGGAACGGATCTTCTAGATCCATAGGGTCGAATTCCCATGTCTTTATTCCAATTATCATATCGCGATGGATGGACTCGAACTCCCCTTGTTGTCTAATTTGTGCCTGAGGCCATGAATGAACATTTTTTCGATACTCAAACATGTAATATACTAAAAATATACAGTCATATACCAAAAATTTGAAAACAACAAAGTATATAGAATGTACATCAAGCAAATATAGCACACTAGAAGTAGCTTTTTTAGTACTATCACCGCGTAACATTATGCAAAGTTGTACATAAAGGAGATTAGTCAGACTACATGAGACACCGGTCTCTATCATTTCAGACAGAGGTACACAGTTTTGAAAGTCGTGTTAGAAAGGACACTTAACATCAAGCTCTACCTTTACATATATTGTGTTCTTTTTTCCCCCCTTCAAATGAACGAACGATGGAAAATGAGGGGGAAGAGAGAAGGGGAAACGTGACACTCGAGCATTTGAAGTCATGTTACAACTACGCGTAAACTTGTGTACTACATTATATTAGCATACAAACTTGTAATATGTAACAACATGTTGTCAAGATTATTAAGACGATCAAGTTCTCACCCGATATGGTTCTTGAGAGGCATCAAACCTCGGGGCTAATCGTTTGTCCTGAGTTGAAAAGATATCGGGGCTGTGAGCTGCAACGCTAGAAGAAGGGAAAAACTTCTGTGTGTTCCACCAATAAGTCAGCCAAGGAAGATAGTGAGCAACTCGAACTGTCCATAGATCCGGGGCTGGCATATCGTAGTATGGTTTTCCTGTCAAATTTGCAGGAAAACCCGGCCACCATATGCCAGCCACAGGCGCTACAAGCCCTGCTCCCGCCAATCTGTTACACAATTTGCAGAGAAAATAGCATCTATCACAACAACATACACAACGTAGTCCCATAAAGTGGGGTCCAGACTCCAGATTGTACGCAGATCTTACCCCCTATCGTCTATTTCCGATACATTACCTATGAGGAATATATTTAAGACAGCCCCAAACTGCTTGTCCACCCATGGAAAATCCTGTTACATAGAATTTGGATCCCAACTTCAATTGATCAGCTAGCTCCTCAACATCGAGAGCCAAGCTCTTAGGCGTTCGTTGTGGATGAGGATCGCTTTCCCCATAACCAGGACGATCAAACGAAACAATGTATATTCCCAAACTCTCTATAACATCCTGCAACATAATAGGAATTAGCGACAGACAAATTCTGTACTGACGTATAATAACTACAGTGTCAGTGTCAGAATCAGAAATTTATGAAACTTAACTACAATGTAACATCTTTAGACCCCTTTTTCAAAACATTAGTACAATTTTTTGACGAATGGGATACACAATTGAACCTCGATCCCTTATTCCTACCTACAAGATCGCGAACAAAATAGAAGGTAACAAGTGCATTACATGAGAAAGTGTGCTTGCAATAACAACATCATGTCTGCAACAATCAAATCCATGGATGAACACAATTTTGTACTTTGCTTCATCTTTCGGAACACCTTGCTCCTTATACGCCAAATGTCTTCCATCGGAGAGTTTTATTCGTGGTGCAGTGATGAGAGGGCCTCCGGGGAAACCACAAATTTTCGGAGGAGGTGGCTTAATTGCTTGATAAGCAAATGCCAAGAAACCAATCAACAAAATTACAAGTATTTTCCCAATCATACCTAAAGAGCCAGAGCACAATATGGAAAATAAAGACACAAAATGTTTGTTATAATATCGCATCGACAAAACACAGGAGAGATAAGTAACAAGGAAAACAAGTAGCCTTAAACTCTAGTGACACATTTTAAAGCCGTACAGGTCTAGGTTCAAAGCATAAGTTAAATTTAAGAATCACAACTTTACATAAGTTAATAATTAAGTTATATCAATTTTCAGTTTCACATTCTTTAAAATATGACCATAATTTAAACTTTTAGAAAAGAAAACAGAGAAAAGGACCTGAAGAAGAACAGAAATTTGCTATCTCCTTGTGAATGATTTTTGAGAAACAATAATTGGTGATAATATTGTGTAATCTTATTTTTAATTATACCATTTCCAACAATTCCAAACAAGAAAATTGGGACAGACAAAAAGACAAAATTAGGTAAGAATTTGGTTTGTTTTAATATTTTTTATTTGTTATTGTGTCTAGTAAACTCCGCTGAGTTCTCTAGAATTCAGTAATTTTGATTCAAATTTTATATATTTCTGAGGTCTGTTAGGGTTGAATCCACACACACTTGATGAATCAAGAACACAAGAACTTTCAAAAGAAAGAGATGAGAGATCTAGAGAAAAAGAGAAAAACCAATATTTCGTGGTAACACTCCGTGAGTAAACTTCCACGACGGTGGGATATATATATATTAATAAATCAGAGTATTTTTTATTACAGAGAATATATGACAGTAAATCAAATATTAATCAGGCTCCACAACCTAGGTCTAGCCGTAATACAATTTATGGATTTCGCTCAAATCATTTCTTTTTTTTTTTGGTTAGAGTTTTATCCTGATTTTCTTACCTTAAAAAGAAGTGGAAGTACTTGAATTTTTTTTGAAAGGAAAAAATATAATTCTCTTTCATATTTGGTTTATTCTTTCATTTTTCATTAGAGGAAAAGAATTTGAGATCTATGAATTGAAAATCCCTGTTTTTGTAGAGAACACTAAACATCCATAATATAGTCGTTTAAGAACATTGTGTATGAGCAGATCTTTTCTCCCCAAACATACTTATGTTTTTCAATATTAAGTTTTACAATATCTAGGTCGTTTGACCATACCATATTAGTAATATGTCTTTAGTATGTTTTTATTAGTGTTTGATTTGTCCATATAATTTGCAATTATAAATTTCTGCATGACGCCCTATTCAATTTCGAACCCAACACTTTTGTGTTAGATAGAATTCATTTGATAGAATTGCAAGTTCTAATACACTGGGTTGGGCTTAAATGATGGGCCATTCACTTGGGCCGGTGAAACTCTCTCCTCATGAAAGTCAAGTTGGGCTGGCCCATGTGAATGAAGCCCAAAGAATTGTTTGAATGTTACAATTTCATGAATACACAATAAAGTAGTTTTATTTTTGTATTATATATTGACAAGTCATTATTTAAATAAAAAAAATCGCCTAAAATAAGCGATATAGACAACAAAATAACAATTTTCATATATAATGTATCGATATATTGTATAAATATTATATATAAATACTGTATATAAATGTATATACATTTCTGTTATATATGAAATATTCAAGTTCGACCAATTCAAATCTCCCCCTCCATAATTTTTTTTTTTTATAAATACACACAATTAAGTCCAATAAATCAAAAATAGTAAAAAAAATAATGCAATTAACACTTTTTTAATATAATTCTTTCACGTGGTATATATGATCTCGTCACATCAAACATGATTCTTTTTTAAATTAAAATCAAGAGTCTTTTTTTATATATATATATATAAAATATAAATGCTGGTTACATTTTAAAAAAAATGAAATCACAAACATGAAAATAATTAATTTTTATAATTTATTAGAAGTTAAGATTTGAAAAGAAATTTTCAAATTGAAGTTGAAATTTTATTCAAATATTATAAATAAACACTGATTCTAAATTTAAAATTTAAAATTTGAGCAGACATCTACATAAATTATTGGGGCAAAAAGCAATTTTATTTAATAAAATAAAAATGTTTTAAAATTATTTCATGAAACTTTTTGACTTGGTTAGAGTCATATCAATTTGCCAAATGGACTTATTGATTCTAATTCTTTTCATTTAAATAAGTTTCTATATATTCTCTTGAACAATTTCAAATTAATGCTAACGATGTCACTAATATTCGAAACAAACAAAAAAAAATATTTATCTCAAAATCCTTAATTAATAGTCATGCAATTGATGAACTATTTCCTTGAAATTAAATCACAAAATAATTTATGCTGGGAATATACAAAGATATACCATAATTCATGTTTAAAATATGATTCAACTAAACATGATTGAAGTTTAGTTATTTTTACGTAACTTATGTAATTTCAGTTTGAATATCATATATATGTGCCTAAAATTCAAGTAAAAATTAATGAAATCAAACAAAAATAACTAAAATGTAGACGAAAATACTTAAAATTCAATCATTAATTTAACTTTTTAAAACTAAACTCCAAACACCTCATATATATATAAATTTAAATTTACACATTGCAAAACTTGTATCTGGAGACGACGTTTTCAAAATAGATTTCATTTCTAGGATTTAAATACGAAACCTTTAATCATCCCACCATAAAAGTTGATTTTAAAAATTATTCTTAAGTTGAAAGAATATAATAAAGAGACCATTATAGGTTTAATTAATTATATGTTGTATGAATTAGTGCATTGACATGAGTGATGACTTAGGATATTTAACAGTGTACTTTAGTTTCTAATTAAGGTAATACCACTTCCTAAGCAATTTTCCAAAACAGGAATTATGGGCAAATCATCTTTACATTTTGAAAATGACTTGTCAGTCCTTTAATAATTATATATATTTTTATAATATATGGTGGAGTTCCCTTTATACTCTGAACAGTGTGCCCATACTTTGATGATCAAGATTCTTACTTAAAAAGAATTAGTAACTTTTTTTCCAAATTAATCACAATCTTAATATATCTTAAAAGTGATTTGGGAAAGGTTCTCTATTAAAAAGACAAGTCTTATTACTTTAAATTAAGAGGCAAGTTATTCCTATTAGGAGTATTAATTGAATGCTTTTTAAGCAGAAACCCTATCATCGGATTATGGTGGAATGAATATGATATCGTTCCATCTTTAACAAAAAGTCTTGTGTTCGAGTCTAATATATGGAGGAGCATCAACTTTCAATTTGTTGGGCCTTATGCGGCCCAAATATGAGTTTATACGTTTTAATGCAGGTATTAGAAAGAAAAAATTACACAAACACACAATTTAAGGTTTCATAATTTTTAAAATTCTCTACCTTTAATTTTTTTTAAAAAAAAATCTCCTCGAGAGAGGATAGCTATCCCCTCTCGGATATATCCATATTCTCTCTCGTGTACATCCCCCTTTGGGATACACCATTATCCTCTCTCATATACATCTCTTTCCCCTCTCAGATACATCCCTCCCATGTGTATCATTTGCAATGTATTGGACAACCAAGAAATATATCCGAGAGCAATGAAAAATCTGAAATATATGGGATTGCTGTAAGTTTTTCCCAATTAGAAAATATATGGTTTTTTCCTTAAAACAAAAATAAGAACCCTAGCTTGAAGTGTTATTTATATATCATAGTATCAATTTACTAATATGGGTTATGGATTTAGTGGTGCAAATACTAGAACTATTTTATCTTAAATTAGATGTATCAATTTTAAGTCGTGGATATCAAGAAAATCCTATTGGTATAGTCACTTTTGAATCGATCCTATAATGCGCACTCCAAATTTCGTGAGAACTTTAACGCGGACACTAAACACTGAGTGAAAAGTAAAAAAGAATCATATTAATTTTTTATGAATTTATTTGACTAAACACAATTATTTAACTTAAAAAAGTAGGGTTAAATAAACTAAATTAGAAGGAGTGCTTAAAACAAAATGTTTAGTTTAATGTGACAACTTGAATAGTTGGGTCCACATGCCAAAACCTAATTTAAGGAATTTCATCTGACATTTATATATGGGAGAGAAGAAAAAAATAAACAAATCAAGAACCAATTCCTAGAATCCAATTCAGGTGTTAAAGAATACTGACAACATAATAATAATAATAATAATTAATAATAGTAATAATAATAGTAAAAGCATACGGCATAAGTAGTACTTTAATCAAAAACTAATCACTTCAACTTTGATAATGTACGCATCTAGAAAAATCTTAAAATCATATTTTTATCTCGTAGATTTCAACACTTATATATAACACATAAATTTTGAAGATGTTTAGTTGATCATTTATTTTGTAAGTTAAAAGTATATGTAACTGACACGATTTAAGGTATTTAAATGTGTAAATTCAAAGTTCTTCCTCTCCCATTCTCGCTTGCTACTCTTCAGCTATGAATTATAACTACACATGTAATTAAACTATTTTTAAATCACTATATGCGAAAATTCTTATTAAATTATTATTTAAGACCAATTAAACACGTCTCTCTCTCTATATAAAATAGAAAGAGCATCACCATTGGCTCTCTTTTAGATAATGGACAGAAGAGATGTGAGTAGTGTTTTGAAGTACTTTGGATATGTCAAGGATTTCATTTATTATTTTCAAAACTTTTTAAGGAACTTAAAAAAGTTGGTTTACTAGGTACTTACAACTGTCAAATTTGTAAGTTGTTTGGTACATGTGCCCCCCTTAAGTTAGAAGGGGAAGTACATGATATAAGTTGGCATAAAAAGCAAAAAAAAAAAAACTCAAGAAAAAGTTCAATATCACACATGAGTTATTTAGTGATTTTATTTGATTTAATATAATATTTTTACATAAAATAAAATAAGAAAGTGGTAATATAAAGTTTAACTTGTTATTATCGAGATTGTAAACATACGCATTATGTAAATTTATGAGATATTTTTTCTTCTTTTAAACATGAAATTTATATTTAATGTGTAATATACAATATGAAAATCTGCCAGTCTTTCTCTTTGATCTATTCGCAATAGCCCCCCCTCTCATACAACTCCTTTGGAACTCAACTTTCTCATTGAGTTTTGTAATTGTACAACAAGAGTTAAATTTAGCTATGATATGACATCTTTTTGTCACAATCCAAATCCATAGCTAATATTGTCTATTTTGTCCTATAGGCTTCACATATTTCACTTCTAAACTACAAAATATTATCATAACTATTTTTTAAAAGGAAAATTTCATCAAGTAGTAATACTTTATAAGAATAGACTTCATTCTTACAATAACATAATTATATCATTTGTTACTCCCCACCCCACACATCAAAGTTATAGAATAGGTGTTGTGGGGGGTGGGTGGGGGTGGGGTAGGGGAGGGGGAGTGTTAACAACAAAGAATTTTGTAATATTTTTTGAAGTTTCCTAAGGTCCCATGTTTTTATGCTTTCTTTTATTTATATTCTCCTATAATATGATGACTATAACTTAGTAGACACACATATATATAGGTGGCCCTCTAATCTAATTGTCCAATACAACTAAGTCTTTCTTCACAAAAAAAAATAATTTTTTAAAAATATTCTTTTCTTTTTTTCTCAATATGGCAAGAAGTTTAGAGCCTTTAATTGTTGGGAGAGTAATTGGTGATGTTATTGATTCATTCAATCCAACAATAAAAATGTCAATAACTTATAACAACAAATTAGTTTGCAATGGACATGAACTTTTCCCTTCTGTTGTTTCTTCTAGACCTAAAGTTGAAGTTCAAGGAGGAGATTTGAGAACTTTCTTCACACTGGTATTTTTATTTATTCGTTTATACATCTTTAGTCGAGGGTTTTTCAGAAACAATAATATCTCTATCTTCACTAGGTATGGAAAAGACGGTTGGTTGCGTACACACCACTCTTACCAAACTCTACTTATGGAATTACACTAAATTTATTGTTGTTGTTGTTTATATATACTAGTAGTATAAACTAATTTTAGAGGATCAAGCTATATATGTTATTCGATTTTTTTTTTAAAATATTGTTCACACTTGTATCGGATCCTTAAAGATGCACTGTTTTTGAAGGATCCAGACATATTCTAGTTCCTCAATATTTTTGAGAAGTCTGAGTAACAGAGCTATCGGATCATATTTACATGTTACAACATATAACTCTATCTTATTTTTGAGATTATGAACTCATTTTTGTAGAGTCTTATCTATAGATATCAATTGTTGATATAATAATGTAATTATTTTTAAAATATTGATGATATATATAACTTAATAAGGTCTTATAATATGCAAAAACAATTATCTTCTTCTTTTTATTATGTAGGTCATGACAGATCCTGATGTTCCTGGACCTAGTGATCCTTATATGAGAGAGCATCTACACTGGTATGCCCTAAATTAACCTATTAATGAATTAAAAAACGAGACGAGTTTAATTTATATACGCTGATGAAATAATTTTCTTATATATATTATCAAATCATTTAAATTACTGGTTAAAAGTTATTTGATAATATTATCGATGGATATTAATTAAACTCGAATTAAAAACATTTAAACTTACTATATGAAAAAGTACATGACAATCCCTCATCCAAATTACTAGCCAATGGCTATGCATATATACTACTAGATTTGGGGGTATATATATGAGGGTAAATGGGCAAAACAATACCCTTATGTACCAAAATAAGTATAGTTTTAACTTATTTCATGTCATTTCTCAATCTATATTCGAAATCTCAGAGAATACACTCATACTATTTTAAGGTCTTATTACCTCTGAACTTATTTTATTAATAATTTTCTATCTCTTTTCGATCTGCGTGACACTATCTTCTGGATCCGACTCGTGCTGACAATATTTTCAAACTACCTGGTTGATAGTGCCACATAGACCGAAAATAGATAGAAAATTATTTATAAAATAATTCCAAGGAAGATAATAGAATCTTAGTATAGTATAAATGTGTCTCTGAAATTTCAGATATAGATTGGGGGATGCTTATGCGTTTTCTATAAATATAAGATATAATCATTGAGTTATTCCCTTTTATTAAACTTTATCTTTTTTAGTTGAGCATTATTAAGAAAAAATAATTTTCTAATACAATGATATAGATGGAAACAATCACTAATTTTTATCTTTGAATTTCTAAATGGATAGTCATTTTAGAATCTTTTTTTCTGGTTAAAGTAACACTTATTTTGAGATGAAAGACATAAAACATAACAATATAAGTATTATCGTAGTGATTTCTTATGGATATATAATCAATACTAAAAAATTAAATAAAATTATTTTAGCTACGAGCAATTTTACAACAAAGTTTATTACTAATTCTAAAATAAAATAAAATTGAGAGTGGTTTACTGATTGTTTTGACAGGATAATTACTGATATTCCAGGTACAACTGATGCTACTTTTGGTAAGTTAAGTATTTTCTGCAAGAAGATAAAATAATATAATTTTTTCTAGTAATTTAAATATTATATGTGAATATTGTAAGTTAAACATGAAGTTCACAAGGAGAGTATATGATTATATGATTAATTAAAGATTTAGACAAAATTAAAGGGTATTTTTGGTACGACGTAAAAATAACTTTTTAGAAAATATTTTTGCGAGTATATTATTTATTAATGTTTTATACTAATATAGAAGTCGTTATTTTTAGGGAAAAAAAGTTCTTTTCAAAATATGAAATAAATTTCTAGCCTAGGGACGAAAGTCTTTTTTTTTTATAACTATAGTAAACGTAAAATCACGTAATTAAAACATTTATAATAATAAAAGATAAAAGATCTATATTGGTTTTACCAATTAGTACATATTAGGTTTTAGTCACGTTAATATGTTTACTTTTTTGTTCTAATATTAGTAATTATCTATTAATCTTGTAATAGCTAATTTTTTATTTTTTTTGTAATTGATTAAAATAGGAAGAGAATTGGTGAGCTATGAGACCCCAAGGCCAAATATTGGGATTCATAGGTTTGTGTTTGTTCTCTTCAAGCAAAAAAGCAGAAGTTCAGTTAGTCAACCAACTTCGAGAGATCATTTCAACACTCGAAATTTCGCTCAAGAGAATAATCTTGAACAACCTGTTACTGCGGTTTTTTTCAATGCACAACGTGAAACCGCTGCGCGAAGACGCTAAGTAAATATTGATATTTCATCTAAGTCATTTTTCTTAGAACTATCTTGATCCAACTTTGAATTTCTTAGTAGTGTTTGATTGAATATTTTTTTTAAAAAAAATGTATCAAAACCATTGAAATATCATCGAGTGTTGTCATGTATTTAAATATTTTTCAGTCAGAAAGTTTTTCCTTTATATTAGCCTTTTTATTGAATCTTAATTTATATGATATTTTTTTTTTAAAATGACTTCTTATGTAAATTAAAATATTTAAATTAAGTCATGCCTTTAATGAAATGACAACAGAAATATCTCTTACATGTTTTATTTTTTAAAACCTATAAATAATTCTTTCTCAAAAGTTAGTAGTGCGTTTTTCAATTTTTCAATGTTTGACTGGAATCGTATCTTGAAAAAGATTTTTCCTTAGGGAAATATGAAGTTTCTAATAAGTGAGTGATATTTTCACATTCATTGTATCGATCCTTATTACATCTACCACCCCCACTCTTTCATTCCTACCCCCCCCCCCGGCCACCCGCCATTGATTAGATTATAATACTATATATCAGATATATTTTGTGTCAACTCAAATTTTATTACATAACTATAATCAAACCTTTGTATAATAGTGTCGTTCTCTGAATATTTTTTTGGATATTAAAATAAGATGATGTTATACAAAAACATATAATATCAAAGCCGAAACTAGATAAAACTAAACCTTTTGTAAATGTTATTATAAAAGATGATTGTTATAAAAAGGTTTGACTATATATATAAATACACTAAACGACATTTAAAATGCCAAGAATTTGTTAGTTTAATCTTCACCTGAGCAAAATAATATTTACATATGATAAAGATCAAATAAGGTGCATATATTAACTCATATAAATTGAAATAGAGAAATCGGAGTACATGATTTGTTTATTTGTGGACAGTATTTGAATATTGAAAACCCTAAAAGACATTACAAACATAGTTCATACTTTTTTTCCCTAGTTGTGCACGTAGAATAATTATTACAACTTTTGAAATTGATTGAATATATTGACACCACACTTGTTCTTTTGTGTATATACGTACCTTTTCTGCTTTCAACACAAAAAAGGGTCATTTTGGTAGGGACAACTGATAATTGTGGTTGATTATATTGACGATAGATATAATAATGATAATTATCGATAATGAATGACATAAGTTGTTATGGTAATATAATTGACGATTGTGATTGTAAATATATGATGAATGATAATTATCGATAAAGAATGATACAAGTTGTTATGGTAATATAATTGACGATTGTGGTTGTAAATATATGATGACTAATAAAAGCGGACTGACATAAATAATTAAGATGTACATTCACCCATTAATTTCGAAATATAAGAAAAAGTTTATTTTTATATAAAAAAAAATAGGAAACATAAGAAAGTGCATCTTTAGAAGGAATAGATAAGACCTACAATCATTTTTTACATTTTTTATCACCACAAGTTAAAAGGGTTTATTTATAATAATATTAAAACTGCTAAATAGAGGGATTCAAACTCATAACTATTCAATCTATTATTAACTAATTAAATATGATATTATTTATTACTCGTCATTAAAAAGTTTGCTAATATTTAATCAAGATGACGTTGGTGAACCTAGACTCCTCAAATTCAGAGTCTGCCTCTGGTGGCTATTAATCAGAAAGACTCATAGTTGGTGATGTTGATGATTAAGAATATTGATAGTTGATAATGATGAATGATGACGGTGTTACTCAATAAGGGGTGACTTGATAAGCCTAAGTATAATATAAGACATTAACCTAAGGCCCCTTAATTTGAGAGACTCGTTTTTAAAGAAATATAGGTTACATATATTTATTTTTTTTAAAAATATTGAATATTATTTGTAAAAAGTTATATAATTTTCATAAGAGAGAAACAATTATTAGAAGTCTGACAAATTTATAATTTTATATGTCTCAAGAAAGATTAAACGAAAGGATTATAATGAACTTCAATAAAAAAAATTAAAAGTTAAAGCATTCGTTGGAATGTTGACTTTTGACCACTTATGAACTCATGGTCAAACATCTTTTCATAAATACTTTAATTTAACAAAATAAACATAAAAATTAGATTATGTCTAAGAAGTTCATAATTACAAAAATAAAATAAAAAAGTTATTTACAAAATAGTTATTCCAAATGAAAAAATTACTAAAAGTGCCATGGTCGACTTTAATCATGGCCCAATGTTATCACCCAAATCCAAAGGGCCTTTAGCCCATCAGAATTTAAATGGGCTTTTGGCCCACTTAGCTACTTAACCAAACAAAAAGATGATATTGAATTGGATTATAACTATTTTTTAAAGTATTATATTTCATGTAAGTTATATACCTTTGGGATATTCACATAATTGTATTTAATACTAGCAAAGACTTGCCTGTGTCAGTGTCACGCCTCGAGTCTACACCCTTGACGTGGCCCGAATTCACACAGTTGTATTTAATACTAGCAAAGACTGTCATGTGTCAGTGTCACGCCTTGAGTCTATACCCTTGACGTGGCCCGAATTCCACATAATTGTATTTAATATTAAACTCACATATACTTGATTGAATACAATTGATAAATGATACATTTTGAATAGATTTCTTCTTATTGGCAAGAGAGAGAGGAGGAAGGATTTGCTATATATAAAAACAAACATATTGCTCCATTTTTATATAATATTTTTAAAACTCCAACTATTTTCCGTAAATAAGTTGCTAATTTTTAGTAGGTCCATGATTTTTCCTCAAATTATAACAACATATTTTTCTTGATTTCTCACTCGGGGTCTTGTATTCATATTGGGATTCGATTAATCCGTGTTCACGTCACGTAAGGTCCATTTAAGGGATAAATACTTTTTAAAAAGAGTTTTACATACTTAATGCTCGAACTTGAAACCTATGATCAAAGGTGCAGGGATCTTATACATCATACTGCAATGCTTGTTAATAACAACACGTAGTTAAATATTAATCTGGTACCCGTAAAACACGAGCCGAATTGACCCATTTCGAGCAAACTCAAGGGAGTTGAGTGGAAGCCCATTAACCCTACTATTGGGCCCAAACCCAGTTGGCCCAACCAACCTTTGGCTGATTTTATTGAAAATATTAAAAAAGATATATATTGCAATTGAAAAGATTTTTCTTTTTCCTAATAAGCACTAAAACCAAATGGAAACTATTCATAATAGCTTACAAAGTAAAAACTCTTAAATCTTAAAAACATTCTTCCTATATTAATAATATAAGTTAATTGTCTATCCTTTTCAAGGTTTTACCAAAAACTTATACAGTTAACAAAATTACTTAATTGTATTACAATGTAAACAATTGTCATATTTTATTATATTTTAAATGTATCTTTACCCAAATGAAACGTGTAAGTTGATATACATTAAAGTGTATCTGAATTATTGAGAGTTTATGCAATCTCCACTCAAGTCAATTAATCAGATAGTTCATGTTTAATACCTTTATACGACAAATGCTACACAAAATCTAAATTATTTAAAATTATACATTTCAAATATCGAATGGTTAACAAAAGTTACGTTTGAAAGGAATATTTGTTAACACCCAATTTTGACCCTCCATAATATAAATCAATCGTCGAGTTTCCTAAATTTTAAACGATTTAAATTAATTAGTTTTTATAAAGTTCAAAATATAATTTCAAGTATTTGAATTAGTTTTGGTCGTTTTTATAATGTTTAATAATAAATATGTTTTTTTAAAAAAAAATATAATTAGTTTATTTTATGAATATTTGGAAATCGTCTAAAAAGATTTTGTTTTAATATCTGGTTATTTAGTTTAATTATTCAGTAGTCTATTTTTAGGGTTAATTAGTTCATAATTAAGTAGATTATTTTATTTCGTTAATGTTATGATGTTCTTTAATTAATTTATATTAATTCATTAGTCAATTCCTTAAACCCATTTGAGGGGATAATAGGATCTTAGTATAATATAAGTGTGTCTCTGATATCTCGGGCATAGGTTAAGGAGGTACTTATTCATTATCCCTAAAAAATGAGGCCCCTTAAATTTGGGGGCCTAGTATGCGTGTCTTTTTTTAACACTGTCGATTATTTTTTTAACTTATTTATTTTATTTAAAGCATATGCTAATGGAGAAAGTGAAGGATTAATATTGGAGAAGCCATTTAGTATGGGAGAAAGCATAACAAAGGAAAAAATCAATTCAATTTCTCCCTTTACTAATTTTCCATCATTGCATGTTGACAATGAAATTGACTTGATTTTAAAGTTGATTGGCTTGGAGCAAATAATGAAGAATTTAGGAGTTGAGAGGTATTTTCTATTTTCTCTTTTTTATATAATTATATTGATTGATATAAGAAAAAAAAGTTTTTTATTTTTTTAAAAAGAACATAATTAATTGTGTTTTTTTATAATTAAATAGGGCAAAATTATATGGATGGCAAGATACATATACATTTACAAAGGCAATTGGTGAAATGATAATAAATAATATGAGAGATGAAACTTCAATACTTATTTTTCGACCCTCAGTAATAACAAATTGCTATAAAGAGCCTTTTTCAGGATGGATATAAGGATATAGGTGATAATATATTGTAAAAATTTACAATCAGTAATAACAAATTGCTATAAAGAGCCTTTTTCAGGATGGATTTAAGGATATAGGTGATAATATATTGTATTAAAATTTACAATCGTGCTTAAAATTTATAATTGAACACTTGAAGTGTAAGTTTTACCGAACTAACCCCTCCCTCATGACGAGTCCCAAAACGAATCCCAACAAAACCTTTTAAAACACTCGATAATATTATTATATCTTTAATTAACGATCAGACGTCCGATGAATTAAACAAATGTCAGGCAAAATAAAATATATGGTCAATAATATTACTGGTATCATCATGTGGTAGTTGTTATAGCTTTGATTGTTGATGACATATACACAGCCAA